AAAGTTTCACAGCTACAAAAGCAATATCAATGAAAAGGGTTTGAAAGTTTTTGTTTTTTAAACATTTTTTATTGGTAAAAACTAAAATTGGAATTTTCCCCTATTAAAATTATTTTGTAAAAATTTTAATTTTGAAAGCTGCCTTTAAACCAGTAACCCTTTGGGCACCTTGGGTAAATTGGGAAAAAAAAAATAATTTTGGGAACAAAGAAAACATTTTGAAAAACAATTTATGAAAACATATTTTTCCCAATTTTTTAAAATTTATAAATATGTTTCTGAGAAAATTTTAAATGACACATGATTGGAAATCATTTCCCAAAGGTCCTTTTTTTTTCTTGGGATAATTAAAAGACATGGGCCCCCCATAAAGCCCCCAGGGGGAATTTTGAAGGGTTTAAAAGACTCTGCTTTCTTGGTCTGTCCCCTTTTCCCCGGGAATGTTTTTTTTGTATGTTTTTGAATTTTTATTTTTTGGGAAACCCCAAATTTTTTAGAAATTTTTTTCACCTTTACAAAATGCACAAAAATAGAGCTTGTAATTATCCTGCAACTTTTAATTAATTTCATTTTTAAACTTCAACAAATACATTTTTTTCTTAATTTTTTAAATCAAAAAAAACCAAAATTTCCCTTTAAAAGTTAAATTAAAAATTTAAAAAAAAAAGTTTCCAAAAAATACTTTTTTTAAAACATTTTTTTTATCTCAGAATTGTAAAGTTTAAGTTTTCAAGAAAAAATTTCCCGACAAATTTTTTTTTCCTCAAACCCCTTTTGTAGTTTACATTTTTAAAATTTAAAACCCAAAAGTTAAAAAAGTTAAAGACTCAGGGTTTTATTTAAGGGTTTTTCATCTATAACCTATTTTTTTTTTTGATGTTTGAAAATTTTTCATAAAGTTGCTTGTTTAAAAAAAAGGTTTTGCCTTTTTTCTGTGGGGCCCAAATGGACTACCTTTTCCAGTTTTAAAGCCAGGCCCGCCGGACATTTTGAGAAATCGACCCGGCTCTTTTAATGGGTTTGGGAGTATTTTTGGGATTTTATATTGGGAAATCCCCGAAATTTAATTGGGCTGTTTCCCTAAATTTAAAAAGGGGAGCCCAAATTAAAATTCAACAGATTAAATTTGATTTAAAAATAATTCAAAAACAATTTTTTTTTTGGGGACATATTGAAAGTTTAAACAAACACTTTTTTATTTAAATACAATTCCTTTCTTAGGGCCCTAGTTTTGGGTTTTTTGAATAAGGATTTTTTTGATAAAAATTTTAGGCAGAAGTTTGGTAAAACAGAAGGGACCCGATTTTGTGGGCTTGTCGTCAAATTTTCCGCAGAAGAGTGGGGTAAAAAACTTGGGATGAAAATCTGCCAAACTTTAAAAAAATTAAAAAGCCCAAAAAATAAGTTTAATTTGGGACTATTTTATTTTTAGTCCCCCAAATTTTATGGGGGTTTTAAAATCCCAAAAGAAAAAATTATACAAATTTAGATTGTTGGGGCATTAAAATATATAAAATGGCGTTATAAAAATGTTACACTATTAAAAAAATTTACATTAATTTAAATTTTTTTCATTATTATATATAAAATTTTTAAAATTTTATTTTTCTATTTATACTTGTAGAATTGTTCCCTTTCTTTTCTTACCGATCCTGTTATTTTTTTTGGGGGGGGGGGGGGGTTTGAAGTTAAAAATACTGGAAAAGAAAAACAAATTTTAAAGCCACACCCAGATTTTCCTTTAAATTTTAAAAGAAAAATTTTTAAAAAGTTTTTTAAAAATAAAAAATTTTTGGAAAAGAAAAAAAAGATTGAATGGTCACATTTTAAAATGGAAATTTAAAAACCCCTTTAATTTTTCCCAAAAAGAGGGCAAAATTATAAATTGCCCCATGCTTTTTGTAAATTTTGTAGAAAATTGGTCATAAATACTAAAAATAAATCATTTAAATTTCACATAAGATAAAATTATACAATTTAATTTTTTAAATTTTTTAACTTTTTCTCAAAGTTTTTGTATTTTTTTCCCCGTTTCTTTTCCTTTGAAATATTTTGGGGGCATCTTTGGGGGCATGCAGTTTAACCCTATAACTCAAGTGCATTTCCCCCCACAATTTAATTTTTGTCAACCTGTTCACTTTAAAACCTTTTTTAAATTTAACTTTTCTGTTATGTACTCCCCTGATGATCTGGGAAATCCCAAAATTTTCTTAATACCAGAGTAAGTCTTTTTATAGAGTTATCATTCTTTCTTATGTATTTATAGAATTTTTTAATTGTTTCTTTTTATAGGACCTCAAAGAGCCAGATTTAATGGAGTTTTTCTCAAGTGAACGTCAGAAGGAGAGTGTAACATTGTCACTGCCAGGAATTTCTGCCCCTTCGGAACAACTGTCTACTGCGTCACATTCGAGAGCATTTGATTTATATAAACATAACAGAGTGTGGGAGAAAAGTGGTAGATTGTGAAAATTGTTTGAACTTATAACAATTTAATGATGGTAGAGAAAATATGTGAAAATACATATCCCATCCGAGAGATTTGATATTTTTTACAAGAAGGGTTTGGGGTACTTAGATGAAAGGCAGTTTTTCTTTAAGGATGAGCAGTTGATATTAAAAAAAAATATTCAATCACAAATGGCATCAATTTTGTGATGGTAGGACAGAAAAAGGGATATTTAACTGAAATAAATGAAAATAAATTACTGTTATTTAATAGAAATTAAGACACTAATGGTCATGTAGAAAAGGAGTCTTACAATTAAAGAGAAATCTTTAGAAAACAACAAACTCCAATAAAAAAAAAAAAACAACCGAAAAATGAATTACACATAATTTTGACTTGTTTAAAACACTTCGAAATACTTTCAAGTGTAAAAAGAATTCATGCTAACATATAGAGATATTATTTGAGAATAGTACATGCTACAGCAAATAGTTCTATTTCTTTTTTTGATTTTGTAGAAAGCTATATATTTATATTTATTTTGATGTATTTGATTAATTAAATATAAAAAAAGAAAACTAATAGTTTGTTGTTTCTTTTGATTGGATAAGATTTTTTACAAGTAAATACTCCTATGAAATTTTCTATTAGATTTAATTCCATGCTAGTAATTTAACTGTCATATACATAATATTTAGCTCAATGTTATTTGTTTTAAGGGTTAGTTTAGGTTTTATTTCAAAAAGACTTTTTGAATCTGTTTGGGTATATTTAAAAGAGCTCTTAAGGGTCTTTTAAAGGGCAAATTAAAAGGCCCTTTTAAAAGACCCGCCCCAATTTTTTCACAAAATGCTTCATTTTTAAACTGATTTTAATCAAATTTAGACTTTAAATTTTGAACACCATGGAAACAAAAAGCTGGTCCCTTTAAAAGACCAAAACTAAAAATTTTTTTATATATAACAGTTTCCCTTCTTGATTTTTTGAATTTTAAAAAGCTCATGTTAATAATTGGGCTTATTTAATTAATGTTTTCCCCCTTTTAAGGGCCAAATGAAACCCTGCTTTTTCTTTTGTGCAGGAAAACTTTTATTTATTTAAAAAAAACTTAAAATAGTTTTTTGAACCCATTTTCGTGGCCTAAACCCGGTACTTCAAGAGCTTTTGGCCCTTTTTAAAAAACATTTCATTTTTTTTTTGAATTTAAAATTTAATTGAATTAAACCAAAAAATTGTGTCCAAAGGATTTTGTTTCTTCCCTAAACAACCCCTTCAATAGTTCTGATCCCGAATTTTCAAAAAATGTCAAAATATTTTTATCTGGGTTTTTTTAAAACAATTTAAACCCGTTTTTAAAAGTTTTATAAAAAATTGAACCCAACTTTCCCCTTTTAACATATAAACAAATACAAAAACTAGTCAAAGGCAATTTTACATTTGCAAGAAAAGGCACCAGCTTTAAATAAAATGACGACTGAAATGGGGCTGAAGGTTTTTAAAACTCTTTTTTTGAGGGGTCCCAGCCTCAAGAATTCATTGGGTCATTTACATTTTAAAGCCCGTTTTGACAAATCAAATTATGAGATCTGGGTTTGGGGGTTTTAAAACCCCCCTCCCGTTTTGTTAATTGGGGACATAAAGGGAATTTATTTTGCAAAGCATTTAAACAGGGCTAAAATTGGGGTTTAACCTTTTTATTTCATCTTTACATTTGTTTGCCCAGTGTGTTAAATTTAAATCTGTTTTTAAACAAAGAAGTTAAAAAAATTTTGTTTTAAAAGAAAAGTACAATACCCTTTTTTCTATCCAATTGCAAAAGTAAGGAATGTTTTTGCAGATCAAGAACACTCCGGTATTAAACTTTAAAAATATATTCCCTTTTAAATTATATAATGGGAAACACCCTAAAAGTCGATGCGACATTTTAGCTTTTCTGGTTGGGGAAAATTAAACGTCCCCCCGTGCAATTTTTTAAAGGGGGACGAACGGGCAAAGAATTAAAAAAAGGGTTTTAAGCTTGCTGGTTTGCTTCCCGGAGGAAAAAGAACCCAAAAGCCCTTGGGCGGGGTTCGAACCCAAAGCGATGAGGCGAAAGTGGCTTAAAGCTGATAACCTTAACCGTTCGGCTACCGACGCCCCATTTCACACTACATGTATAATAATCGACAACATTCAATATTATATGGATATAAAATTGTAAAAAATATTATTACATAAATATTAAATTCAAAAAGTAAAAAAAAACATCCGGTGCTACAGTATTGTTTGTTGCTGACCATTTTGTACTTACATGTGTATGGAATGCCAAAGTTTTTTGTATATTTTAGGTGTCTCACTTCTTCTGTACGATTCAGATATGTTAGAAACATGCCTCAAGTAACTTGAGGCATGTTTCTAACATATCTGAATCGTACAGCTATTATTAATACGTCATTATTATGCTGTCAACCCGTATTTATGAAAGATAGCATTCAATATTTGAGCTATTATTTCACAACGTATTTAGTTACCTTTGTCACTCTGGCGTTCCATAGATAGCGGCGCGGGAAGTTGGTATACAAACAATTGATAATATCTTGTCGATATATGTAAATCATATGATTTTACAGATATGCTAATACTTTAAGATAAAACGAATAAATACACATTTTAAAGTACACACATACCGATTATTTCCTATATGTGTAGTAACAACATTTATATTGTTTTGATTATTTTACGCTTCACGCAGAGACAGTTACGATGAAAGAACTAAAATAAGTGGATTTGTAACTATAACATGTATGTAACTTACTTTTTTTAACATTACTGGCTAAGTGTTTAACTTTATTGGTTATATTTTACTACTATTTTGATTTTTTTTGTTTTTATAATGTAAATCTGAGTATTCTAAAGGTGTATTGTTTTTCTTTTAAGTTTAAAATATTATCCACTCATTGTATCGAGGAAGTTTAATAAAATACATAGGTTCCGGTCGCTTTCTTAAATGTTCTATGGTAGCTCGAAAGGGCCACTTGACAAACAACAATTTAAATACAAAATAATGTTCTGCAATATTCAATATTACACCGAATTAATCCTTTTTGCGAGTTATTTTTAAGTACAATATTACTTGTACCTTACATCGGATAATTTGGACTATCTCCGCCATTTTCCTTATCTGGAATTCATTTAGGATCGAATGAGTAAGTTGAAATGACAAATAAATAACGAACTAAACGTTCTTGAGCGGTTTTATTCGGTATGGGTTATGCAAATTTCATTTTTACATGAAAATATATCGTTAAAGCTAAATGCAGTTACCGTACCATTTTCTCATTTCATGCCATATAGCCCGACCTTCATTGCATAGTCAACTTTTAGATTGCCCCATGCGTCCTCCGTAGTTTACTGAGTACGGAAGAGGATTTTGGCCATACGGTTGTATATATTTCCGGAAAGCATACTATAACTTTTATATCGATTAATCGCCGAATCGCTTCGAAAAATATGGTTTGATTAAATGATAAAACTGACTTAATTCCATTTAAACTTGCAGTGACATTGATTGGATATTTCAGTAATCAAGCAACAAAATGCCGTCTGCTGAAGTAGAGATCGTAGTAGAAAACACGTGCCCCGGAAGTTTAAACGCTGCAGACGACGATGTTTGCTTGTTGGCTGAGTCAGCACCCAACGATAAGAAAAAGTAAGTTCGAATGTGATTGTCTCAATATATCTTTCGGTAAATCTTGATGCACTACTTTTTGTACCTCTGCAAGGGTAGTATGGCTGGTCGGGCTTAGCACGCGACTTATCGTCTTGTGAAAATACTTTTTGTAACCCTGCAAGCTCAGTTTCAAATTTTAATTAAACATGTATAATTTGCATGAAAATATTTAAAGAAGGTAAAATATATTTCATAAATAAAGGTTAGGCCTATCATTGTATATCAATGTAGTAGTTGACATACTAGTAATCAGATGTTCCGGTGTTACGAAATGATTCTGTTTCAGAGATACACGTGTTGAAATGTCTATGAGAGAAGCAGAGAAGTTAATAACCTACCTCAACGACGCATCTGATCTCTTATCTACCCGTGTAGATGAACTGCATTACATGGTAAACTTATAGAATCTCATCTCAACCAAAAACGGGATTGTATTTACCTCCCCTGTATTTACGTTACCTCCCTTGATTATGTTTCGAACTGAGGGGTTGCCATTAACTGTTGAGACATCAGAAATGCAGTCGCCGTTTATCCCTGCGTAATCGTAAAAGGCGTCTAAATGGGTTAGAATTACTGGAGTCTACTGGGATCCTACATATTACCGGACAAAATATGAAGTTTTTTATCTGTAACTTTTATTTAAGATAATAAAAAAGAATTGAATTTTATCCCAAATTAATTTTGGGTTCTTAATGCACGTAAACATTCCTTTATCAAACATGAAGTTAAACATTTGACTGTAGAAATGTGTCTTTAAAGTAGGGCATTATAAGAGGGAAAAAATCGTGTAAACAACTCAATTTACCGGACATTGTGTTTAAAAAATTTTTGTCGTGAATTGAAATTTATTTAAATAATCAGCAAGGAAACTACGACTATTGAATGACAAGGTTAAGATATTTGAAAAACACAGTATGTCACTAGAAATATACACGGCAGCCATGCCTGTTATGAAGAGGCAAACATATAGGGTGTAATTGAAATTAGCACTATTAACACTATTAAATCAATTAACGTAGTGATTATTCATGATCCTTTAACCCATGAAACATTTTAATATTCAAGTGAAAATTTGTTCTTTGTCATACAGTTTCTTTTTGGTCATCATGTAGCATGTTACAAAAGCCATAAAATCTATTTTATTTACATTTCATGTAAAATTTCCTCCCATGGGCATAACCCGTTTCCTTATATGTTTTTTTTAATTTGCACTTCTTTGTAAAACACAAAAACGAGATACTGTTTTGACTAAATTTAAAATTACTTTTTATCATTAAATTATGTTACAATTGTCTCTTGAGGTAACGTTGAAAAAAAAAGAGTAAAACTTATCTAAAAACCACCATTAAGGGTCTCAATATTCGGGCCTGCGCAGAACAGTTTATTCCCCCGCATGACCAGGTCATGAAATAACTAGTAAACAAAAGGGCAAGTAAGTAGATAAAGAATTGAATCAACAATATTTATCTGAGAGTGGTTTTGTTGTTATTTACTTTGAAATAGAAAATGTGTGTACGATTCAGACTGTATGATTTTTTAATCGAAGCAAAAAATAAAGCACTTTTCAGCAGTAATAGCTTAAGTTTGTCCGGTAAACTGATTGTCCGGTAAATATGTAGGATCCCAGTATACATCTCTTAGCTTCAGTAGGTGAGGTGGTTTTGACCTCTGGTGTTGCTTTAAGTTTGTAATATCCGAGGTTACTAACCAAAATCATTTTGTCTAGTTCATCGCCATGTTGTGTTGGTGTGCCGCAAAACCAAACAATATATACAACGTTCGAATGTATGATAACGCTTTAGTCTACCTGCTACGTTGCATTTTCATTCTAGTTTAGTTTAGTTTATTCTCTGACAGATTAATTAAATATTAATCATTAATTATTATTAATTATTCTAGATATACAATGATATAAAAAAAAGTTTATTGAAAGCCAACATGTCCCTGCATGTGACCTTTGTACAGAAATTGAGAAAACAACAATCTACATCGCCAAACAAGACGGTAATCAGAAAACATATACATAATTTAACCTTACACATTTTTGTTTCATAGGCTAATCTTGTGCCGAGTCCAGAACTTGGGGCTTTTTAATATCATTTTTTTTTATTTAAGCTCCCTACAGGATCAAACCTAGTCAGACTGCCATAACTGAAGACTGACACTGGTCTGGCTCTATGCAGAAAGCATGGTCAAGTCTTCATAACAATAATCATTAAATTAAAGGGTTAACATGTCACCTGTAAAATGAACTAATTACTGCAAATTATAATTAATATTTCTTCATCTACAGGAGATGCAAAATAAATCACCAACGTTACAAAACCGCCGATGTACAAGACTGAAGTCAATATTTTCAAGGATAGTGAGTAAGTTTACAGGATCTAAAGGAATATCTGCGACAGTTATTTTACAGGTACGTTAAAGGGCCATAACTCTAATTTAGTCATAAACCGGACTTGCATATTAGCGCTCTTTAAGAGGCATCCTGACTGAACTTTGGGATTAATTGCATTTTCAACAAGCAGCAACACTTATGAATAAAAATTAATACTGTTGCGAGAATAGCGTAAATAACACATGTATACTTATAGTTGGTGCAGATGTATGCATTCAATGGAAATACTGTCTGACTAAAAATCCAGTGATCAACCATGGTGTGTGTTAGCCCAATCTAAATTGCTTAAGGTCCTTTCAATACCGAGGTTAGGTGTGATAGTGCTTTCCACCTTGCAACAGAAAAAACAGTGTTTCTTTAGAATGGAGTTATTTCTGTTTTAGTTTCAAAATCCTTCAGTAGACTGTATAATAATGTCACCGAAGAACATATTTTCTTGCCATTAGAAAGTGTAAAAAAGCTTTTGTTTAAATCAAATTCTGTGTATTAATAACTTCCATTAAGTATGTTCAAACTACAGTATAACAACTGCAAAGCGGCCCCCTGAAGAGCAATAATCTCTTCACAACAACAGTATCAATTTTTCTAAAAGACATTTAACAATTCTACGGCAATACCTCTCAGAAATAACCAAAATCTTTGTTTCACAATGGTAGATATCTGCCGAGATTGTAATGCTCCCTTTTCTTCAAAGCGCGATTTAAGAAAAAAAAATAAAAATAATTGTGTTTATTTACAGTTGGTCTGCCTGATTATGCTTACACTAGTTGACACTTTGCCGAAAAATGACGATGACAAACAAATGGCATTACAATACGTGAGTAAAAATTACAACTTTGTAACCGATGGAAACCACGTGAATTGCGTGAATTGAAAGTAATTTTATACGTTTGTCTTCACTATCATATATATTTTTTAAAATAATGATCAGAGCAGTAGGTCACTTAACATGATACTAAATCATTGAAAACAATTCCCTTCGTCCCGTTTTAACCGCATAGTTCTACCTACAAATGTCACAGAATAAGTGAAATCCTCTAAACATATTTTCATTGTAACATAAAAATTAAAATGTTTGAATGACATAACTTTTATATGAACATATTCATTGATTTAGGGTAACATAGCTGTTAAGCTTATCAAAATGACTAGATTTTGGCAACAATTTCAGGGGTCCATCGCCATGTTGTTATTGCAGACGATAAACCTGGTTGTTGTTATTCTAATCTCAGGTAAGTTTACAATTGTGTGCTAATTTTCACTTCTTGTCGTTTTTTTCGCCCTGCTGCCACACCAAACAAATTAAATGACAACACCAAACAAATTAAATGACACGAATTAGTTGCAATAGTAAATAATATATCCAGAATTCTTGTTGTCACTTTTTGTAGCACTCAATTGAAGCCGATCTGTGCATGCAGTGCTCATTTTTCAGTGTCTAACGTTACAACAATAGTTTAACTTGAAAATGCCTGAAAAAAAATATTTTTGTTATTTCTGTTACAGTACAGTTGCTCAGTCAAATTCAGAAAAGGGAGGTCACTAGAATTCTACTAGCGCAGTCCTACATAGCTACCGTACTTTTATTTTCGGGCATTTACACCGCCTCGTACAGAATGGCTGTGAGTATTTTTCTATATTTACCCGTTTTTTTCTAACTTTACTATCTCATGTCCAGTCTCAGAATGAACTTTTCAATTATTTGTGTTTATTTGTTTATGTTCTTTGCTACTGTCCTCGATGGCAACAAAATGTAATTTTAAAAATGATAATACACTTTTTTTGTATATAAGTCACACATGTGAATAAAGGCCATTCTGTTAATATCGGACATTCCCCAGCAACCCTTATTTGATTATAAAGAAAAATGTAATCTCCAAATATAGACCATTTGTCTATTAAGTTGTGTCCTCACTTGAATGGACTTGTTCAAAGGTTTGACTATATATAGTAGTAAAATATATATATGGTTAAAAATAACATTTCATGCAATTTTATATTTCAGCCGAAGTCATGGAAATTTGTATCTGATCCTCGGGAGAATTCCAGTCCCGTTATGATAGTAAACTTATACACAAGATTCCTCTTCTACTCCGTCTCCACGGCAACGCTTTGTGGTAAACTTTTATTTTGCTTTGTTGGCTGTAAGCCTATCAATTTGTAAATTGAGTTCAACGAAATGACTGTTCATATTTATATCTTGTTCCAATAGTTGTTTCATGCAAGTAACTATAGGGACGATTTCCTATCATATAAGCGTTAAAGATCTTGTTTGCCTCGACGCTAGTAAACAAATGAGACGCGTCACGACAAAACCAACATAATGGGTTTGCGACCAGCATGGATCCAGACCAGCCAGCGCATCCGCGCAGTCTGATCAGGATCCATGCTATTCGCTATCAGTTTCTTTACTTGCCGGTCGCAAACACATTATGTTGGTTTTGTCGTGACGCGGCTCAAATGAGCAATAAATTTAATTAAAATTGAATATAAAGTGTGACATAGCGTCCTAAGTTTCAATAAAACGCACTTATTTGAGACGAATAATAATGGTACAATTGTATAAACAAACCGGACATTAATTGAACCAGCTTTTCACAGGATATGATTTTTTCCGGTTACAAAAATAGCTTATTGAATGGATATTATTATTAAGTTAGCAAACATTTTTATTCATCTGTTTGTTTATTTGTGATTGCTTTTTTTCTGTTTTTATGCCAATTTCAACACATTTTTAGTCACAACTCATTGATCGATCCAACTAAACGGCTTTCCTGTATAACTATGTTAACCAGTATAACAATTAATAAGTTCTCAGCAAGTGACCGACTACTAATTCCACTCACATGAATTTTGAATCAGATGTGATATTAGAATAATGCCCCAAGATCTTTGTAAAGGATTACCCCTCTTTCCGAGATGAACCCAGTTACCCCGGGATACTAACCCGATTTTAATCCAAATTGAGTAAAGGGGCGGACCTATTGTGTCAATTTTGTTTGTAAAAATTGAAAAGATGTTTTAATTAAAAATTAAAAAATATGTTTTACTTTTCAGGCGCAGTTTTGGACGCTTTGGCCAAACGACGGGTTTACACGATTTTTATTCGTTTCCCGGTCAGATTTTTACCCCGCTTCTTTTTGAAACTTTACATCATTTGCTAAAAACCACTCCCCAGAAAACCCGCAAAACGCCCAACCCCCAAAACCCAAAACTATTTCCCAAAGAGTTTGGGTTAGGTCAGAGAAAGTAAAAAATTTGCAAGTTTCGAAGAGTTCACTTGAAGTCACGTGATCACAAACTTCAGTCTGATCTACATATGATTTCGTTTTAAGGAATCGAGATTTACACGTTACTCTTTTTCTCCAGCCACGATGATGTCATATCGAATATTTCCTCAATTTTTCAACTATGTTTTTTTTTTATAGATTACATCGTGTTTTCTTCGATGTATTAATAGCTATTTAAAAATTAAAACAATCAACATTACTAATCTACATGTATATTTATTTTATTCATACCAGAATATAAAATAGCAAGCATTGTTATCATATACGAGTACATGTTCATATGAGATACATTTGAAGAAGACTATAATACATGTAAATATATAACCGGTGAAAAGTTTTTGTTCACCGTCCAAACAGCATATATATGTCACGTGGTACTATATATCAATAAAACAAACTTTTCAAAAATACTGGTAGCTGTTATTTTACAAGCAACATAAACCCATAAATTTAACACTATGATATTCCAATGCTTGATTAATTTGATAAATACTGTTGCCAAGTAAATAACTATAAAACATATGTCCCTTAATAGCATTTGATAGATGTTCAGTACCTCAGTAACAATTCTTTCATCCAAGTTAATTTTTCAGGCAACATATGTATTTGGACTGGATCATACAACTTTGGTAATCATGGATTTCATTCCCCATTCAATATTTAGCTTATACGATACCATCCAAATACAATTTTATATCATATTTTATACTGATTTTTATTTCTTAGCCGGGTAAAGTTTGCTCACTATGCTTTCCATACTTTTAAAGAAAATTGTTTAAAATCGCTTTGTGCAGTACATAAGAATTCCAGTTTGAGTTCTCAAGGTGGCTGCTATCTTCATTTGGACCACGTGACTGGGGTCGAGATGGAACGAAAATCTGAAGAAAAGAACAGAAAATGAAAATATCACTTACATCATGAATCAATATTATAACTGTGTCCTTTTCCTACGTATGTTTAGAACATAGAGCTATTGTAAAAATAAGTTTTAATATGTAAAACAACAGTGGGCCTTTTGCCGTTCGGGTGAAAAAGACCCCGAGAATGCCCTTTTGAAATTATTTCAGGCACGAACGAGCACCAGTGTAGAACCAACGATGTTCCGTATCTTTAAAGGAAAGATTTAACATTTCAGAAGCGATTGAACAAACAAAGCTATAAAGGAATAAAGAAAACTGTTTTAAAAGAGCTCAGGCTAGATATAGAGGTTAAAAAGTGGACTATGATTAAGTTATTCTTTTCTGTCTTCTCACACATTTGGGAATATCTACAGATACATTTATTTTTTGGAGACTATTTTAACAAATACCTTCTGAGAATCCTAGCTAGAATCACCTTCTCTTCATTAAGAGCGAAATGTTGACCTATACAGTTTCTAAACATAAATAAAATATAAGTTATTAATCCTAGCACATACATGTATATTTACAAAATAATACAAAACTGAAAGTATGTACATTATCTTCAGCATGTACATAGATGACACTTATCTGCAATTGTCAATATGTTTTAATCGATTTCAAATAATTCATCATTATTGATTGATATAATTGATAATTAAAATTCTTGTTTTGAAACTTTTCAAAGAAAATTAGTAATTTGGAAATTAATTAAGAACTTATTCGGCATTAAATATATCAAATATTTAAAATAATTCACCTAGGCCCAGCCGAGAATGGAACAAACTGGTAAGAATCCATTTTTGCTACATTTTCCTTCGAGAATCGTTCTGGTCTGTAAGCCATGGGATCTTCCCAAACATCTTTATTGTGGTGGACGCCGTATATATGTACAGTGACGGGAGTTCCCGCAGGGAATTTACGGCCTTCTACTTCAAAATCATGTGTGAACTCTCGCTGGATGAATGGCACTGGACTGTAGTTTCTCAGGCTCTCTTTCAAACACATTGTGAGGTATTCCAGCTTATTAAGGTCCTTCCTGGAATATTAGAACAATGGCTTAATGGTTTATCGTGTCGGCCTCTCAATACAGAGATTGTGTGTTCGAGCCCTAATCGGGTTACGACCGTGTTTCCTCATATGACATTAGTTGCATGAAGTGGAATCGGTCGTGGATGAAAACCTTAGATGCTAAAATGTTGATAGCGAAAGTAACTTTGCACTGGGTTTGTTTTGGGTTTTTGATATCGATAAATCCATTTGAATTTTGAATGGAATGATTAAAATTCAAGGATTGCAAATTCAAAATCGGTAGGTTAAGTTGAAGGGAATCGTTATCATAATTCAGAAACGCATGATTTATCAAAAACTTAATATAGATATAGGATTTTGAAATAGATATAATAGATATCAATTCATAAAGTCCGATCGATTTCAGCGAAAGTGTACAAGTCACCCAACGCTTTTTTCATTCTTTGTCAAAGTTTACAAAAATTTTGGCGGCTTTCTTCTCGTATAAAAAATAATTATTTTGACATTAACTATATCATGATGACATTTTTACTGGATCATTAATGACATTTTTTGGATCAAAGTATTCATTTTCCTAGACCAATGAATTGACATTTTAAAGGGGTTTTCTACCATTCTAATTTGTTCCGTGTCTTTAGACTTATATAACTCATCTATTTCAGCATGAACTTTTTTCTGATATTCTGGATGTTTGGCCAGTGCATACAGTGTCCATGATAGCGAGCTGGCAGTCGTATCGTGACCTTCATAAATATAGAGAAATGAAATGAGCTTTTATTACAAAGTAGTTAACTAGAAGTGCATGCCTAAAAATCAAAAACAAATTTTCAAACACCCAAAACTAAGAAATAAAAGTTATGCTTTAAAATCGCTGCCCTCAAAAAGCATACCATGCATATGATAGTAACTGGACAAAGAAAATACATACAAATACCCTATCGCTAACGATTGGCGTGACATTGACCTTTGTCCGAATAAAACTGACACTGTTTCATTTACTTGCCTTCAAACATGAAAGTATCCACTTCGTTTCTGATATCTAATAAAGACATTCCATTTCCCTCCTCGTCCCTTGCTGTCAGAAGTATGTCCAAAAAATCTAGATATTTCCTATTTCCGGTACTAGGTAGTTCTGTAGAGGTTCTTTCGTTAGAACTTTCCTAAACATCAAAAATATATGTATTTGTATTTATTATATGTACATACAGACAGAGTTTTTTTATAAATACATTTGTTTCATCACACCCGCTATAAATCATTATTGACAGGTATTGGGCCTCTATGTCTGAGTGGTTTCAAACCACTTGCCCTTCACCGTTCTGGCTTCAAATCCAGCCAGGGACTTTAAATTCTGTCAAATAGGGAAGTTATCCAGCTAGTATAAGGGAAAGTCGGGGTTCTACTAGGTTTCCCTTCACCCCAATAAAGTGGAAATCAAAAAAAGATTTTTACTGTGGGGTGCGCCAACAAATAAAAAATAGGTTCACCTCTATTTAAATAAATCGACAAACACCAAATTCCGAATGTTGTAAAAAGCCAAATTCGAACTTATTTTCGACTTAATAATATATGTTTATTTCAAAAAAATTTTTAATAAAAAATTTTTTTTGAAATTTTTGAAAATTTTGTAAAAATCGCATTTTTTCTTAAAACGGGACCCCTTGGTGTAGGGAAAAAATAAAAACTGGGTCAGTGGGGCGCCTGAAAACACAAAAAAAACATGAAAGAGTGTTTTGATGGAAAATTTTTTTTAATTTTAGTAAAATATATGCAATTGAAGTGTACACTTTGCGCGTTGCGTTGTCGATAGCGATACACAACCTATATCGTTATCGCCTTTTCGTCTATAGTCGCTAGCGAAATGCGCCAAATGGCGTGTTGTCGCACTGTCAACTTGTCGTCCTGTCGCTAGCAAAGCACGCCAAACAGCGCGTTGTCCTGCGGCGAGCTGTCGCCCTGTCGCTTGGCTTATATATATATACAAATAGCCAATCCTTTGTTTTAAGCCGAGCGACAATGTGACATCGCGACAACACACCGCACGACAACCCACCATTTGGTTTGCGTCGTCCTGTCGTTAACGATGCACGCTAAACGGCGCGTTGTCGTGCGGCGTGTTGTCGCGATGTCACATTGTCACCCGGCTAAAATCGAATGATTTGCGACAGGACCAAGGAACATCGCGACAACGCGCCGCACGACAACGCACCGTTTGGCGTGCCTCGCCAGAGACAGGACGACAGTGCGACAACGCGCCGTTTGGCGCATTTCGCTAGCGACAAGACGACAGAGACTAAAAGGGGATTACTATATAGGTTTTGTTGTCGCTATCGACAACGGAACACGCAAAGTGTATTAAATCAGCCTCCGATTTGAGCCGAGGGACAATGTGACATCGCGACAACACGCCGTACGACAACGCGCTGTTTGGCGTGCATCATTAGCGACAGGACGATAGGACGACAGTGCGACAACGCGCCGTTTGGCGCATTTCGCTAGCGACAAGACGAAAAGACGGTAACGATATAGGTTGTGCTGTCGCTATTGACAACGTTATCGACAACGCATATCGCAAAGTGTACCAAATCATTCACCATAATTTAAAGTGCTTTAAAACGGGTACTTGGTAAAACAGTAATTTATCATACAAAATAATCAAACCAGTCTTTTGATAAAGAACACTTACTTTTCTCTCATCCACCATATCTCAGACAAATCATTTACTGCAGTCAAATACGGGTGAGTTTTTCTGTTAAGAACAAAAAGTACTCGAAATTTATATCATCATCATAATATCATCATAATCATCATTATCATCATCATCATCATCATCATCACCACCATTATCATCATCATATAACGGTGAGTTTGAAATACTAGTAACACCTCAAACCTTAAATGAATTTACGTCATGGACACGCAGGTATACATAAACAAAGAAGAAAACATGGAAAGGACCTTTTTTGTCCTGGACTTCTTATAACCCGAGTCCGCAGGTCTAGATTACTATAAATGCGTCCTCGTACTTCTGCAGAGGTTCACAAAAGGTGCGAAAATGTTGCATAAACTGCCATGGTAGTAGTTATACGTATAATGCATTCTGATATATATACAGGTATTTTTTCTATAAAGCTTAGATACATGTTCATTCATTCATTTGTTTGTTGCTTCCTGCATTCCTTCTTTTTCCTTCATGCATTTTTTCTCTTAATTCTTCATTCATTCATTAATTCATATAATAGAATTACATACCCTGCGATCTGACAATCTGTTTCATAGGAAAAAGCACACCGTAATATAACATCCAATGTACAGCGACTTATATTTTTAAACACCTCGAAATCTTCTCCTTTGTCCGCATAGCTAGATAAGTTATCCTTGAAAAAATAAAACATCACTCAAAATTTGATATGTCTTTAACTGAAAGCTTTTAGTACAGCGAAACTTTCTTGGTCAAGTGAAAAGAGATTAAACATATAACGATCTTCCTTTGATTAGAAAGAAACACTAATAGAAGGATGTCGAAGAAATCGTGGATGCTCAACAAATAATAAAAATCAAATAAATACAGTTTATTTTTTTTTTAAACAAAAAATCATTAAGACAATATTTTTGGTTTATTTTTGAAAGAAAAGAATAAAGTTCCCAGTTATTCACTATGAACACATTAAAATTATTATTACATTATTTTTTTTTGGTAAAAATACCAATGATAAAAAAAGCCATGATCAAGTTGTTTTTGTTTTGCGCGTTTGAGTATTATGTATATAGAGTTTATAATATCATAAGTTACCATGAGTTTTTCTGCAGCTTCATTATAAATATCCACATATGGTTTCAAAATATCAAAGTGAAAAGCTGGCGTCAAAAGTCGTCTGGATCGTGCCCATCTTGATCCATCAGCAATCAGTAGTCCTCGACCCAACCATGGCAGTCCGAATCTATACATGCCGCCAAATCCAGTAGGTTTGGGCTCTATGGATGATATATAAAGATTTACAATTTAACACATAGCTACAATATATAAAGATTTACAATTTAACACATAGCTACAAATGTTACAAAATGTAAATACACATACAAAATGACAATAGTAAAGGTGTTTTGTTCATAGAATAGGAATAATGGGTCCGAGCTTTACTTTGTTGTAATGGCACAAGAACTGGTTCGTGCAGCTAGCTTGACCTGTTTCCGCAGTCTTGTTCAAATAAGAGTATTTTCAGCAAAAGTGTTTCATTTGTAGAGTTGGGATATACATGTTTACTGTAGAAAATTAAAAGAAAAAACATATCAACGTACTTTATAATATACAGATGAATCAAATATAAGTCAGATGTAGAAATACTGATGTTCTGTACCTGATGTTTTCATGACGGCCTTAACTGTAGATGGATGGTTCACAACGATGGTCACTCGGGCTGGACCAACCCAAAGACAAAAATATCGGCGAAATTTTGATCCTAGTCCAATGATAAATTTGATTCTTTCCGAGGGCAACTTAGGAAACTGAAATTAACAAATATAAATCTATAATCAATCATTTCCTTTAAAATATCAGACATTGTTATTGTACACTATTAAATGGTCAGTCATTCTCTAACCAGTCAGTACTAACCACTTTAATTTTATTACTATCAGTACATGTAAATGATCGTTTCGTTCATAAGTTTTCCGAGTTAAAATGGGATCAAATAAAAATAAAAACATAAGTCCTGACTTACACGGAATTTGTAGTCCGTGTCTACAAACTGATCAAGTCTATATATACTTGTGATATATCACATTCTCCAATGATAACACACCATAGCAGTGTCCGAGTACCATTCTAAGTAAGTACGTAAGACTTATTGTTGGCCATTCTTTCGCTAAATCACCAACATCTAAAATCCCCTTTCTTCCTCAACAACCGCATACATGAAAATTCAAACAGAATTCTCTGTAAAATTATAAATATAAAACAACTATAATTATTAACATCAAACATTTACCAGATGAAGGTGACCATAGAACCAATGTCTGTCTGTCGGTCCTGGTGCATTCTTAAACCACCGCTTTAATATCCTCACTTGATTTATAAATGCCGCTACCTTATAAATTATAACTGTAACCGCAAAGACAATAAAGCTGGTCAATATCGCAGATCCTGTACCATTCCAAAAAGAAGGAACAAGATTTGAAACTCGTTCAAACATTGCCCCTTGTCCCTTTTTCACAGTAGCTATTGAATTGGAAATAAATCTTAAACATGAATTAATATTAACTTCCCGCTGTTAAAATTAGGCATTCAAAATTTTTAATATTTAAGAAGTGTGTTATATTTAAGCCAAGTAATATGTATCTATTTCATCACCGATTAGTTATCAGCGATTAAATGGGCAAGTCCTTATCGAAATGTTTAAGTATATTTACATTATCTAATCAGAAAAGTCGTCACGTTTACAATTTGGTAACCGTTTACTTGCTGTTGTCGAAATGAAACAACTCAGTTCAAAGTATAATAATTCCATGCTTTTAAACAACAGATAAATATGAACCCAATATATCTATCAGTTTCTCATTTTCGTATCATTTTATGGACTCAAACAAAGTCGCCTTTAACATAATTAAAATGTGTATACACGTGATGTAAACCGTGCTATCTCCATATCAAATGTAATTTTAAATGGCCCCGATTTCGGACACATAACCAAAATACTGCTCCAGTTTTTTACAATGATACAAACTTAGTGGATATCTTGCGATACCGTTTGGTGACTGGGAAATCTTGATTTATTCGATTGATTGTAGGTCCACTTCCTTCCTTCCTTCCTTCCTTCCTTCCTTCCTTCCTTCCTTCCTTCCTTCCTTCCTTCCTTCCTTCCTTCCTTCCTTCCTTCATTCCTTCCTTCCCCCTTCCTTCCTTCCTTCCTTCCTTCCTTCCTTCCTTCCTTCCTTCCTTCCTTCCTTCCTTCCTTCCCACCTTCCTTCCTTCCTTTTCCTTCCTTCCTTCCATTTTATTTATTGATGATTTTGTCCTGGTACATACATTCATCGTAAAATGTCTCCATATCTGTAAAATGAACATAAATGATTTCTTTGCTAAAATAATCAAGAAAAACATAGTTGGAAACATATAATTATACTTATCTAGGTAATGCGTAAGAAAGAAAGAATAACACATAAAAAATAAGAATGTATACAAATGCTCTCACAATTAATGTGCAAAAGCTTTTATTTTGCTGAATGCCACGCATTTAAATACGTTAATGTAGTTTTACAGTTTTAGTGTGTATCAGCTCGTAAATGTGAATACACATTAAATTTATAATTTACAGATGCAAAAGAAAGAAAGAAAAAGATGAAGTATCTTTTAATTCTTATGCTCTTTGGCATTTGGTATAATTATGAAGTCAAAATACTACTGTGTTTACATTTTGCTCCCTTTATGACACATTACTGCATAATCAGCGCTTCTTTCTTTAGTTGTTTTAAACATCCACATATGTATTATGATCTAAATCGTTATTAAAACGTTATTAAACACATGTTTGACATTTCTAAAATGGATTTCTGAAGCATATTGTCAACTGTAATTCAGCATTTCTATGTAAATGCCTTAATTAATATGGATAAAGGAAAAAAAACTCAAAAACTTTTTGTTCAACTGGCTAGTTATATTTTAGATATTTTTTTGAAAATCAATAGTTTTATCTGACCTAAAATCAATAGTTCCATCTGACCTGTCAGTCCTCTGAAAGCTCTCTTCCGCATTTTCAAGCGTTTGGCGAAATAATGATTCCAGAAGCAACAAGAATTGTTGGCGACGTTTTAAAGAGAAAGGGATCTTTGAAAAATTTAGTATTTTCATCAAAATTCAAGGTCTTACTATTGCATAATTTGCCAATTTCACTTGAGTAATTAAATTGCCTGTGAGATAGAATGTAATGAGTTTTCGCGATGCGAAATTACACCGTGGATCTGCACGTAAGATTAACTTAAAAGAAATAAAACCCTTGATACAGAATCTTACTTTGTATTTATATAAGAAGTAAGATACTGTATCCAGGATTATTTTTCCTGAAAGTTAAGCTTACGAGAGGATCGGCGCCTGTGGCTACTAAGCCCCCCCCCCCCCTCCCTGTCCAAATATTTAGACGTAACCGCGGATTTGAAGCTATGTTTTACGGGTGAGAGTGGTTTCGGCGAACTGATCTTATATAATAAAAAAGGTTGTGGTTTCGGCGAACTTAATTTATAAAGTGCGAACAATATCTATTGTATAATGGGCATAGTTTATCACACGTTTTCATGCAATTAAAGACAAGATATTGAAAATTTAAACCTATTGTTTATTCTTTTCTTTAGTATTTCAATTTTATTAACAATAACACTCAGTTTGTATAATGACCAGTGATTTTTCTGCTTATATAACAGACTCCGAAAAAGGGCCTCTTCCCAATTGAAATTTTCTTTAAAATCATGCAGTTTTCCCAAAATTTGAACATAAACCTGCTTTTTTACTTCCCAAATTAGCAATTTTAGCGATAATTTTTCCCAAAATCAAGAGGCTTAGGCCTCTTCCCAATTAAGTGAGAAAAATCACTGAATGTAATAAACAACAACAATCGAGCCGGCTTGGCAGCCCTGGCCTTTGACTTCCCTGTTTTATATGAAAACACTTTAACATAGTCATAAAGATTAAAAGAAACACAAGGAAAGTTATTATTATCATGTTGTTTGTGTTTATAAGTATTTAGGCAAAAACTATCCAAATTAAGTTACCCAATGTTTGAGTACAGGACAAGTAAGTTCTATTGCAGGACAAGTGGATTTTTACATCCACTTGCCCTGCATAAAAAGTACATTTTTTTGAAAAATTTCCAGTCCTTCCCACCCCAGAGCAGTGTAAGGCAGTTATATCTAGCATTGAAATGTCTCACCTTTAAGGTTGTTTTTTTTTCAAACCCCTGATTTTAACATTTATTTTTTTCTCTCTAAAACTGAAATAGTAAAACAACACTATAGTCTTGTGATTTTTTATGCTTTTCATGGCATTGTCTATGCCCCTGCAAGTGGTTGATTATTATTGGGAACTTGATAGATTTAGCACAATCATTCAGCTTGTTGATATTGTATTTAACCTCAGCTCTGTTCTCAGAGCCAGTTGTATCTGGGCCTTTATTGAAATTTGTTCTCAAATACTTTATGAGTACAGACAACACTGTGCAATGACTTTGGAGCTATGTACCATCATGATCCCATGATGGGCTCCAAATGTCACAGTAAATTATGTAGAAAATATAACGAGTATGTAAAATTTGTCCCACAGTTCAACAGTTTTGTGATGGTCCTTGGAAAGTTTCTTAAATTATTGACTTTTTATACTGTTAATGATTATGTTTTTATTATTAATTAATTTACTGTAAGTTTTAATAACAAACAAGCTGGCATATTAGAGTGCATTAAATCTTTTGAATAATTTTACTGTGTTCTTATTTATATTCCAGAATACGAAAGCTTTATATGCTTTGACATGCGAGACTTTGAGATACAGAAAACCTTTGTTGGATATAGCAGCTGACTGTGGTGTGTTAAAGGATAAGAGATTAAAAAATGATGATAATTTAGTTGCTGTTCTCATGTATGAACATTTACTTGGGAAAGGAGCTCTAGGAAGATTTAAGGTAGGATTGTTTCACCATCTATTTTCACTGTCTTGAGATGGTTTAATGTTTTTTTTCTTTAACTTCATATTTTTTTTTCATTTGATTTTATCACAATCTGATCAGTGTTACATAATTTCTGTGTTGATTTTAACTTGCATAGATATTGAGTCTTATTTAAACTGGAAAGTCCTATCTTTGGAATGTACAGGACAAACTTTGTAGAGCAATAGCCTTTGGAAGACACATGTTTTGGCAGTTGGTGAGTGGTGTTGCTGTAGAGATGTTTAATTTATTATGAAGTTTTACTTTTAGAAGAATTTGAACTTTTGTTGTAAAGAGGTAATCGTACTCTGCAAAGGTCACACTGTATTCAGAACAATCATATCCACATGTTTAGCACAGAAGTGAAGCCTTTAATTAAATAAAATTTCTGTTTATTATTATTGTTTAACAGCAGACCAGAGCAGTTGAAAATACTCTATACAGTTAGCTGCATACTATTAGTCTAAAAATTTGGCAAAGACCCTATCACACTTATTATATAAAATGGACTGACCATCTTGCAATCTGGACAAAACCATTCTACATTTTTAGGGAAAATTTTAAAGTATGTACTGTCTGAGTAGAAACAATATAGACCAAGAACATATGGCATGGACAGCCAGCTGATAATGGTCTCCATTGGTATGTTCAGTTGTAGCTAATAGGCCATTGAAGGCTTAAACAATGATTTTAATTCTTTCAATTACAGGTTATACTACACAAGTATAAAAACTCTATTCACAGTAAATGTGAGAGAATAAAAATAGACTGTGGAATGACAGATCTTCGTCAAGCTTTACAGAAATTGTTACCATTCAATGCATCAGGTACTGTTACATTTATGTTTTTGGCAATTTTGAGAAAGTTACAAGCCTTGATGGTAAAGATTTTGAAATTTCATATTAAAGGAAGAAGAATACCGACCATACATTTGCAAGTTTATTTAAATTTGATTAAAAACTATTGATTAATAACTATTGGAGAAGACTTTACATAAGAAGTTGCTTTAGATTTTATTCAAAGAAATTCTTGGATTCATGGAAATGTTTGTTTCATCCATTTGAAAAAAAAAAATCATTGAAAGACACCTGTTAGTAGGTGAAAAGGTTGTTGTGTGAGTGAGTTAAGTTGGAGTGGGATACCATAGGTAGGTTGATTGATTGCTTGATTGATTGGTTGATTGATTGATTCAATAAACAATGAGCATGTTGATTGATTGATTCAATAAACAATGAGCATGCAAACACTTTACACTTATTGTGTACATAATAATCCTGCGATCAGAGTAATTTACTGTACTTTTACTGAACCACTACTTTTGAACATGTTATTATAGATAGACAATTGCCTAAATATGTAAGGATCAACACAATATTGGATAAGAAAGAACATGTAATAACACAACTACGGAAACAGTTTCAGCTGAGAGAAAATTCCAGGTAAATCTTGATCTTTTTTACTAAGCTCTTTTTTACTAAGCTCATTAGGGAGTGAAACAGTTGTGATCTAGGGGTAGCTGGTTCAATCATTAAGCTAGTTGAAATTTCTCCATGTAATTTGATCTCAGACATTGACCGTAATAGTCATTTGTCTGTCACCTCAGATTCAGTAATCATGTTGAACAATCACTGAGATATCAGCATAAATGTGTTGTAATCTGTGAATTGGCATTAAAACCAACCAACCAAATCAAACATATTGTAGGGATTCAGGCATTGAAAAATATTTTCAGAGTCACTCGTCCTGCAGGATGAGTAGTTTCTAAATCCAATGTGTAGGCAACATTTTTCTACTTGTCCTGTATCAAATTCACTTAAGTTCTACTTGTAAGTACAAGCGGTTGAATATTCGATCTCTGGTATGATGTTCCTGTAGTCTAGCTTCCAAAGTGTTATTAAGTCTATACAGTTTTTACACCACTACTCCAGCTTCATTAATTTTTAAAATGTAATTCTTTTATCTTACTTTAAGCTTTACATATTTATCTTTCATTTTACTTAAATATCACATGATCACATTTCACTATTTCTTTCTGAAACATTAATTACCTTTACGTTTTCAAAATATCTACTCACTGTTACATCTTGTTTTCTTCCAGGACAGATGACATTTTACTTGATGATACTGGAAATTGGTTCATAGAAGATGTACATGTACCTAATCTGTTGAGGTTTCCGACTTCTGTACAATTACACAATCACCCGCTGTACTTATCTGGGAAGATCATTATTCAAGACAAGGTCAGTTTAATGTTCTAATTAATTGAGCTGCGTCACGACAAAACCAACATAATGGTTTTGCGACCAGCATGGATCCAGACGAGCCTGCGCATCCGCGCAGTCTGATCAGGATCCATGCTGTTCGCTTACAGACCCTATAACAAGTAGAGAACCTGATAGCGAACAGCATGGATCCTGATCAGACTGCGGATGCGCAGGCTGGTCTGGATCCATGCTGGTCGCAAACCCATTATGTTGGTTATGTCGTGACGCGGCTCAATTCTTTTCTGTTGACTTTCATGTAATTTTCACTGTGCTTTACTTGTTTTAAGGTGCCTGATTTTTTCATCATTTCATAATCTGTATGTTTAATCTTAATTAAAACAGGTGTATATGAGCAGGATTATGTCAGAAACATAAAGTTTATTTTATTCTTTCCCCCAAGTTTTTTCAAGCGATTTTGCAGCACCCATACTTTATTAGGTAACATTGCCAATTTGCCATTACCCATGAAGGTTTCAAATGCCCAAGTCTTGAGCCACAGAACATTTATTACCAAGCCACTAACAGGGGGTTAAGATATGACCAAGATTTTGGCATTAAAACTGAACAAACAAACAAAAATATGCCACCTCACCATATTAGTTGGGTTTTTATCTTTTGACAAGTTATGTAATGTAAAGCGCCTGAAGGTAGTACTTACTTACTTACGCAAATGTTCTCATATTAAGATTTTTGAATTTCATGAAGCCTTGAAGCCCTTAAGAGTCCTTTTAACTACTTCAATTGTAAGTTCTGTCTCATGACTTTTTTTAGGGTCGGGTTTATGGCAACTTTCCTGCTTTACTGGTGGAGGAAGACCTCAAGTGCCTAGGGTGCATCATTTCAGGCATTAACTGGCACCTGAGTAGAACCATCCAAATTCCGTAAACTACCTGTTTCGTGATTTAACAGATTTGTAATACAACGTGTATTTGAAATATATTTGGATACACTGTCAAAGAACATCTTTCAGTTATTATTTCTATGAAATTTTTAATTGATTATATTTTCAGGCAAGTTGTTTCCCAGCATTTATTTTGAATCCTCCAAGTGGTTCTACAGTGATAGATTGCTGTGCTGCCCCTGGAAACAAAACAAGTCATCTAGCAGCAATCATGGGCAATCAGGGGTATATATTGCTTTAATATACTTTAACATGTTTATTACAAAATATCTCATTTATCTGAAAACTTTATCAGTTTTATGCATAGATTTTTAATCTTATTACATAAATACAGTAGAACTTCGGTAAGTCGAAGTTGAAGGGACTTGTGTAAAAACTTCGACACATCGGGACTTCGACTCATGAATCGGTCTGAGTTTCATGACCAAATTTCAACCCTGTGACTAGCCCTATTTATAAGATCTATAACTCAACCTATTTCATGTTTTTCTTTCATTTATTAATCTGATATGTTACATTATACAATAATAAATATGACACATTAAGTAATTTTTCACGGCTAAATTGATTTACGTATACAATAAAGTTACAAAAGGCGTAACAATACGAAAGGGCAATAACTAAACCAGCTTATAGTAATGATTTCGCTTGTGATTATCACGCGACACCGAGTCACGGAAGTACTCAAATGATAGTTCTTACTGTTAAATACCGCTAATGCAATTAAAATAGTAACGATTAAAGCATTTTTTTCACACATTTAAACGCATACAAAGGCTGTTTGAACAATCAGCTGTGTAATTAACACCTGTCACTAAAGTTGATCGGAAATCGTCTTCGCGGCCAGAAAAGGTGTGAAAAATGTCTCGAGATCGAAGGTGTCGAAATGATCGAAGTACTTCGGCTTATTTGTGGTAAATTGTTCTAGATTTATTCTATACGGACCACGAAAAAACTTCGACACATCGAAAAATTCGACACATAAAATCTCGACTCATAAGTAGGTTTTTATAAGGAATATATAAGGAAAAAAATCGAGACTTTCATTTTACTTCGACACATTGAGAAAATCGACTAATCGAAGTTCGACTCATAGAAGTTCTACTGTATGTTTTTTATTCAGGGCTTGATTAGATCAGTAGAGAATGTGTAAGTTTATTGACTTTATTTAGCAGTAGTTCCTTTGTATAACTTGCTTTGCTAATTGGAATATTTCTCAGAAGTGTTCACCAAGGGCTTGTAGGCCACATGACCCCCACCCAGCATCATTTTCAGATTTTCCAACTCCCATCTCTGCTTCAGTCTATTATTTGGACAGAAGGATTAGTAGGTCAAGGTCACCTCTACCAAATATATCAAGAAATTATGGTTTAAATATTTTGTAAAACTTAATTCCATTATTTCCTAAAGGCCATCAGAAGACTCCTATAGTCAAACGTGTATTAAGCGACTGCACAAGGGAAACACCCAAAACGGTCACTTAATGAAACGGTCTCTTAAGACAGTCAGCATGATATAAATGTCAAAATTTATACATGACATCTTTCTTATGCGGTGGGAATGTTTTTTCAACTTCATTTTTATATAAATCTTGAATAATTAGTACGCTCCGATAATCTAAATGGGTGCAAATGTAAAAAATAACTTTCAGATATTTATTGACAAACAGGGTGCAAAACAGTTTTGATCCATTCCGTACATGTTTGACATTTTTTCCAGAATTTGTTAACTTCTTCGTTGTTTTCCTTGTCTCCAACACGAAAAGCCTATTAGTGAAGATGTTTTCTGTTGTGCATTTTTTCATTTGAAATAAACAAATTACATCTAATTGTTACGATAAATTTAATTGCTGATCAAGTTCAAGGTCAATTCAATGCAGTCTAAATGTCAACAAGCGAAGGGTATACACCATCTCAGTAGGGTAGGAGCGTTGCATTGTTTATCCGATATTATTGGATAATTCACTTCACACGTATACTTAACTTCATTTGCATACGCTAAAACGGTTTGGGAAATAGAGTTTTTCACATGTTTATTTGTTGTGTTTTGATTGTTGACACTTGTCACATTACAAGGCGGCGTTCTGTAAAAACACAATTACTTGACAGGTAAAAGTGGTCGTTTATTGAAAAGCTTGATCTCAATTAGGTGACTAATAAGCGTTCGCTGGTCGCGTTGAGCAAAAGTCGCTTAATACATTAAAGATATAGAGAGAAAATGATCGGGGGAATTTAAAGTGGTCGGTTAAGACAAAAGTCGCTTAATACACATGATCGCATGGGCAAGTTAGACTGTATTTTAATTTTGGATTCTATCAAATATGAGTCAAGGCCATGGTAAACTAACACAGTTTCCCACTTAATTATAGAAAAATGTATAACAGTCAATGTTACAGTAACCCAGACTTTATCCCAGTAACTTGCAGGCCTTACTGTGTTTTATAGTTCTCAGACAACCATAATCTGTAGGTCTAGAAAACCTGGGACTTATAAATAATATTGTATATTTTAAATCCCAGACAAAACATGAAAAGCAAAATTGTTATTTTTTAAGTGATTGTCAGGTTGAGAAATCATTGTCTACCATTTGTTTTCTCCAGGAAAGTGTTGGCCTTTGACAAGGACGCCAAGAGATTGTCAACGTTGAAAAAGCTGGTTAGTAAAGCTGGAGCAACTTGTGTACATGCTGAATGTAAAGATTTCCTATCAGTGAAGCCACATGATGACATGTATAGAAATGTGGAGTATATATTAGTAGATCCATCATGTAGTGGTTCAGGTAAATTATTAATCATATATATCATGTTCTCATCCATATTGGTTTAATGGTTGAGGCATAAGAATTGCACTAATGCAGCCACTGTTTATCCCTGCATGATAGTAAAAGGCACCTAAATAGGTTTGGATAACTAGAGTCTATGCATATGCTGGCTCCAGCAGGTGAGGTGCCTTTGACCCCTAGTATTGCTTTGAAGTTTGTAACACCCTAGGTTTACCAAAATCATCTTTCCTGTTCCGGTGTCATGTGACTTATTCTGTGTTGGTGTGTTGCAAAACCAACCAACCAAACAAACATGTACATGTATATCATGTTTTCAGGGTTGTCATTAGGATGTGACTGTCAAAATGTCTGTCTCAGATGCATTTTGGCGGCAATTCTATTTGTTGTATGTGATATAATCAAAAATGACTGCCTCAAATTCAAAAACTGTCTAAAAACAGTGCTAGACATACTAGTAACTCTTTTCTGGTGTACATGTACTTTTTTTCTATATTACCTAATTTTTTGTTTGTATGGTTAAAACTGTGTTAAAAACTTCTTTTTGAATGCTTATCAGATGGTAATTGATATGGTCATATTGGTACCAGCACTAGTAAGTGTTGAGAATTGAGAACCGCTCAAGCCGGTGCTAGGGGGCGTGAGAGATGTTGCACTTATTCATTATCACTCATGTACAGACTCAATCAAACCGAGTCTGCAATTCTTATGTAATTTTGTTGTGATTAATGCTTCCGAGGGATCACTGTTTCCAGATTTTTATATGCCTTTCTTGTATACAGGTATGGTTAACATTATTTTTCTTGTATACAAGTATGGTTTAAATATTTTGTCTTGTATACAGGTATGGTTTACATTTCTTTCTTGTATACAGGTATGGTTTACATAGTTTTCTTGCCATACAGGTATGGTCAACATGTGTTTCTTGTATATAGGTAATGTAAACCTTTGTTTCTTGTATACAGCTATGGTTTATATGTATTTCTAGTATACAAGTATGATACAAATATTTTTTCTTGTATACAGGTATGGTTCAAATATTTATTCTTGTATGGTTAACATTTGTTTCTTGTATACAGGTATGGTAAACAGACAACAACAGTTTACGGATGAGGAAGATTCTGGTACCACAGAGAGATTACAACAATTATCCAAGTTCCAAATCTCTATCCTCAAACATGCCCTTAGTTTCCCACATGTTAAAAAAGTAGTCTATTCAACTTGTTCAGTTCATGATGAAGAAAACGAACAAGTTGTTGAAGAAGTTTATTCACAATGTAGTGACAGGTTTAATATAGAAAATATAATGCCAGAATGGAGATATAGAGGGAAGGAGATATATGAACACGGTGCTTGCTGTTTAAGAATGTCTTACGAGGATTGCCAGACAAACGGATTCTTTGTAGGAAGTTTCATTAGCAAAAATACCGAACCGTCTGATATCGAACAATTGGATAAGGTTAAATCTGAAACTAGTGATGAACTTAAAAGACTGGATAATAGCGAAGATCATTTATGTGTAAGAACTAAAGATTTTGGTTCTAGGAAAAAGAAAATGAAGAAAAATAACAAGAAGGTTTATGGTGTATGTAAAAGTAATGGTGAGAAAAAACTTTCTGTAGCCAAGAAAAATAAAATGTTGTTAAAAGCAACGTCTACATGGACTGTGATAAAACAGGGTGTTTAATTTAATTATCTGGTTCTTAATTCTAAATTCTTTCTTGTGCAATGTATATTGATACAATTGAATAAAATAATGGTAGATTAAAATAGGGGTATTCTCTTGTTGTTTGGTGGTTATATCTCTTATAAGATTTATTTATCATGTACATTATAAAGATTATTTTATATTTACTCAAATTTTACATTTGAGTAAGTCAAAGGAATACACAGGTCAAGTTGAATTTGGTCATGGTTTGATGAGTTTTGGTAGAGTTATTCCCCTTTAACTTTGAAAAAAAGGAGAAATTTTCAGTTTCCATTCATTTTCTCTCCAACAGTTGTATACATTTAACTTAAATTAAATATATGTAAAATAAAAGTTTTAGCAGCAGATAATATGGTATCAGTTAAAAAAAACCAATGAGGTTTAAATGATGCAGTTTGTTCTAGCTTGCATGACTGTGCAATTTTTTTTAACAAGAAGGAAGAGAAAATGCATTTGAAATTGATTTAACTTTAATATATTACTTTAGCATGTCTTGTTTCATGGACATTATTATATACTTAAAGTAGATCTGATATTGTTACAAAGAGACAATGATATCTTTTTGCACTTTTATGACATCACTGTGATTAATCATTTAATATAATTTTGCCTATGTTGCAGAAAAGAATTTAAACTCTTAGATACTTTATATATATATGCAATAAGGAAGTAAGACAAAGTAATCCCTTATTGCATAAAAAACATAAGCCACTTTGAGATTATGGGGGCTATTTGTTGCCAAAAATCCAGCCTTTGAACCTTGATATTGCAAACTTCGGTTCTACTAAACAGTTTAGTAAAATTTCTTTTTCACGGATGAGTTTGAACATGGGTCATCTGGGATGAAAAACTAGGTCACAGGAGCTAAAAATAGAAAAATCTTATTAATACTCTAGTGGTCACATTTTTGACTCAATTGTCATCAAACTTGGTCAGGATGCTTGTCTAGGTAATTGCTGGGATAAGTTCGATCATGGGTCATCTTGGATGAAAAACTAGGCCACAGGAGCTAAAAATAGAAAAATCTTGTTAACACTCTAGTAGCTACTGTTTTGATAAAAATATCCTGTAAATTGGTCTGAAAGTTTGTTTTGATGATTTCTAGGTCAAGTTTGAATATGGGTCACCTGGGGTCAAAAACTAGGTCACACTGCCCAAATATAGAAAAACCTTGTTAACATTCTAGTGGTCACTTTTTTGACTCAATTATCATCAAACTTGGTCAGGATGCTTGTCTAGTTCATTGCTTGAATGAGTTCGAAGATGGGTCATCTCGGATGAAAAACTAGGTCACCGGAGCTAAAAATAGAAAAATCTTGTTAACACTAGTATCCAAGTATCCTGGAAATTGGTCTGAAAGTTTGTTTTGATGATTTCTAGGTGAAGTTCGAACATGGATCATCTCGGATGAAAAACTAGGCCACGCCGCCCAAATATGGAAAAACCTTGTTAACCCATTACTTCATGAGCATTTTGTGAAAATGGCTGTTTTCATTGAAAAGTCTCCCGTTACAAGTTCAAATTGCTATAATACTATAAAAACTGCTTCAACACTAATCAAACTTGGCACAAATGTTGACTGGACCATTGCCCTTGCAACAACATGCTCAGACTTAAATTTTCTGTTACCATGGCAATGAGGGGACGTCTCAAAATTGCCAAAAATCACTATTTTGCGTTGATTTTTTCCATCAAAATTGATTTCAAAGTGTTGCAACTTCTCAATGGATTGAGATAGAGTGAAATGCTTTTCAGCGTTGGTTACACGTTACCTTATGATCAATCTGGGGTCATTTATAGCCTCTCACAAGTCCAAAATTTTCTTGGCGATGAGGGGGACTCCGCCCCCCTTCAGAAGGGAGCACATCCCCCTTCTGGCAACCCCATGATGTATCTTTTGGTTGATGGGCCGCGCCGAAAAAGTGGTCACTTTTTTTACAACATTTCTCAAACAAAAACAAGTGGTGGGGGGCCTAAATAAGGCATTTTTTCAGCATTTGAGACAATAAAAGGGGGGGGGGGTGAAAAAGGCGTGTATATCGCGTAATGGGTTAACACTCTAGTGGTCACATTTTTGACTCAATTATCATCAAACTTGGTCAGGATGCTTGTCTAGTTCATTGCTTGAATGAGTTTGAAGATGGGTCATCTCGCATGAAAACTAGGTCACCGGAGCTAAAAATAGAAAAATCTTGTTAACACTAGTGGCTACTGTTTTGATCCAAGAATCCTGGAAATTGGTCTGAAAGTTTGTTTTGATGATTTCTAGGTCAAGTTCGAATATGGGTCACCTGGGTAAAAAACTAGGTCGCTTTGCTCAAATATGGATAATCCTAGTTAACTCTAGTGGTCATATGTTTGACTCACCTGTCATGAAACTTGGTCAAAATGCTTGTCTAGGTAATTGTTGGGATGAGTTCGATCTAGGGCCATCATGGCCCTCTTGTTTACGATATTGGCCGATGTAAGATTTTTTGCGGAAAAGCATAACTGAATGACTAAACCGCGACATCAAACGCAACTGTTTGGTCTATGGATATTATGAATTATCATCGAGGCGTTCTGATTGATGCGACATCATCCTGATACGCTTGCGCTTTTGTGGCGACAACTGCGTCCGAGTTTGCATTTACAGATATCGACTTAAAAGAGAAATATGCATGGAATACTGTAACAATACAAACTATTCCAATGGCGTAACATGTTGAGACCATCTAAAATTCAATCAGGAGCCATATTAACATCGCCATCCCCCGCCAAATGTGTTTGCTCATTGGAAGAATGTGTAGTAGAGCAGAATAATTCAATTTTAAGAGGTCTTTTGGTAATGAAAACTGATGGCTGAAGTGATTACAGACTTGAAACCTATGTGAATACTGATGGCTGAAAATAACAAAGGGCAATAACTGAAAAATAATACAGGGTATGTTATCATTCTTGAGCGCCCCTCCCCCAGCATTATATTTATTTAACTAGTTGAATAAGTTTATAACTAAAGCTATTCGGATATAATATTTCTATTTATTGCATACTCAAAATAAGAACAGTTCACGGTATAAAAATAATCTTTATTTTATTGATGCGCAAATACGACAACGCTAACATTTAGCCTGACATTATGTTTGCATAACGCATGCATATACTCGTACATGCATATGATTTCACGAAAAAATATTTGCACGCCCACGATCATTGGGCACAAGAACAGAATTAGTTAAAACTGTAAACCTCCAGATGAGAAAAATGTATTAAAGAAAGGTTTTAAGAAAAGATTACAGAGAGTACAACCCGTTTCGTTGATTGCGGAAAAAAGACGCACGTGTCAGGCATGGAACAACTACGCGAATGCTGGGAATACAAAAGTTATCCAAGTTTATACTCATCATTATGTAATCTTTAACTATAATAGTAAAGTAATGACATTTCAATCGAGAAATTTGCTATAAAGAACAAAACGCAACAATTATGTTTTAAAATAACATCGCGTAATTAAACAGTTTACGATATATAATCATTGAATATGAGTCGCAATCTATTTTAGACTGGGAAAATTCAATTAAGCCAGTGAATATAATAATATGATTCTTCAAAAAAGGTCTTTTCACTACTGTTAGGACCAATGAGATTGCAGCTATATTTAGATCATATAATAAGTGCGATGAGTGAATGATTTTGCGATATATCTCACCATATTTCTACTGCGTGACTAACGCAATATGAACTATTTTTGCATATTTTGTCTCCTTTTAAGTAATTTACGTGGGTTGTAATTGTCGTTGGCAATGTGAAAATTACTTTCTCTGTTCACTTCACAATATTTCTTTAAGATACATTTTCAAAACTTTCTTAAAAATGTGCAGGAATCTGGAAGCATGCTGCATTATCCTTTGCTTTGTGATATGGCTTTAATATACTAGCTATTGCCTTTTAGTCAGCGTAAACAGAAAGTCGGGGGTTTTCCCCGGGTTTCCCCGGGGCCCCCCGGCCTGATATAATGCTCGAAGGGGGAAACCAGCTGAGATCCCCTTCACCGGGAAAAAGCTGGGAAACCCAAAGCCTTTAGGGACAAGTGTCCGTGAAAAATTTAACCCGCTTTAAATATAATCAAAAGTACGTGAAATTATAATCTACAAAAAAACTTAAAATAATAATTGAAATTAATGAAAATGAACACGATACCCGGGAGTTTAAAATATATAAATACAGTACAAACAATTTTAGAAATAAAAGCAAATTTTTAAATTTTTATTAAATATAAAATACCCCTTTTTTGCATATTACAAAAAAAACAAAAAACTATATTGAAATTTCTTTTTGGATTTCAAAAAGCCGTTTTCCCATTTTTTAAAAAAAATAGCCTACTATTCTAAACTCTGTATCTGTTCGAACTGTTAAGTAAATATTTATATCATGCATTCTTATATGTTCAAACTTTTATGTATTGCAGTCAAATTCAATATAGGTATTGTGCAAATATATATATATATAAATGAAATATGGGCGACATAGTAAAAGAAACGTTTACGGAATTAACGAATGTGCATTTTTATATTTTAATTTTTATTAATAGTCAATTCTGCTAAATCAACTTTGTCTATGCAATGCAATGGTATATAGAAATATTCATTAAAACATTGTTTCATGCTATTTATTTTAAAATATACAATATACACAAAAATAATTTTGACTTGTTTCCTGACAAAATCAGAATGACAAAATCAGTAAGAAAAAAATAAATTGAACATGTATTCTTGCGTCGATTGCGGCTGATTGCACGATAACAAAATGCTTTAACTAATTGCGTCACAAAAATAAATAAAAACAAACAACACATGGTGATTGTTATGTTTGTATTGGAGTTCTCTCGTCATCTTCATCAAGCACCCTCTGTTGCCGTGACAACACTCTATACAAATAATGTCTTACAGTTGCATCACAAAAGCAGAACAAAATACAGTTAAAGAAAGCTTGCGAACTGTCGCCAATGCTTTGGAAAAATAACAGCAACTTCTGCGCTCTTGGTGTAATGTTATTATTCACATTGTGGTTTAGATATTGCGAGGAAAAAACCGTGCAAGTACCCCATACCTTTCTGACTAACATATTAAAACTCAGGGGTTACATAAAGGAAATTTCCATCCTCACTGCGCATGCCATCTATATCTTGCATACCAAATCGCCGCCGTGTATTTTCGCGTCTCTGAAATTATTAAATATTGGAAGAAATAAAACAAAAATATTTTCTCATGCAACAAAATATATTAGAAAATGAGTATCATCAAGAGGTGAAAATCTAGAAGATGCTAATATTTTCTCAACCTTGCTGAATTTACTCGCAGAAGAACAAAAAAAATACAACAAATAGTCAAATACCCATTTAAGCACCAAATTTCTGGTAGACAAAAAAAAACAAAACAAAACAAAAAACGAACAACAACAACACTTGATCTGCAATGAAGTGACTTTCCTTTTAATATAAAGACACGCATGCACGCACCACACATACACCATTAGATATTATTTATATTTCATTCATACACGTATACCCGTTTATTGTTACAATATGTGCCGCCAAACAATGTAACAATGTAACGAATATTGTACTTTGAGCTCTTCCTAATACCTTTACTATGACAAAACTGATTTTGACGAGATAAATCGCAAAATACCTACCCGTCATTACACAAGCAAAGACAGTGAAACACAAAATTAAAATAAAAGTGTATGAAGTCAATCGAGTACAGTTCTTTTAACTTCCTTGAATAACAAAAAAACGGAACCTTGAATAACAAAAACGGAAAACACTTACATGTATAATAAAAAAAAAGAACATGTACACCGTTTATAGCAAGTGCTCTCATTTCCCCCCCTCATTTTTATGATTTATTAAAAGCTATATATGTATAGCTGTTTTTTGATATATTCAAAACGTTACATGTTAATTGGTAGAAAATGGAATACTGAGTATTGATGTGTTCTAAAACAAAACATTAACTTCCTTTAGATAGTCTGCGGCAAGTTACGTAAAAAAGGCGGAATATGCGTAAATGATTCTAACCTGTGACCACATGGCTATTTTGGACATCATATAAAGCCCAGCTGTAACAATATAACACAGTATTTCCCAGCCCTTTCCAGCAATAATCATCCAAGCAATCTGCACATGGTCAGCAAGCTGAGTTTTGATCCAACACCAACTTCCGGTACCAACAGATTTATCGTTCCCAAGTACATCTAAACCGGAAGCTGTGATCGTTATGATTCCTGTGAATGAAATACATGAAATTATTTTAATGCATTGATAGTAATAAACTTGTTTGGTATATTGTTTTTACCGCAAAAAGGTCAATTTCATTGCTATTGACTTACTGCCCATGGACTAAACCGATACTAAATACAGTAAATCTTTGTTTAAGTTTTCCCCCATTATCATAAAAACATTTTGAGCGGGTTAAAACTGACAGTTCCGGAAAAACCCGTGCAAATTGTTGGTTTTTCTTTTGTTCAAAATATCTCTAGTTTGACATAAAAGAAGTGATTACGTGTTTGGACCACGCACACAGTGTGTCTTTTCTTAAGAATGTTACAGTCGTCCGGACTAGCCCGTTCGATCGGTGAAAAAAGGCAGAGGTTACCGATCATGACAGAAAAGCTCTGAAAGTGGCTTACATTCTGACATAAAGTCATGATCACTCGTTTATTCATTTTTTTTTTCGACCCTTACCTTTATCCACAATTGAGACTTGAAAATATATTTGGTATAATATTTTTTTTCACAGGACAGAAAATATATTAATGCGGTTTGTGCATTGAAAAAGCTTCAATGACACATATTTGCAGGATTGCTTTAAATAGATCAATTAATATGAAAACTTTTATTTCCCTATATATGTAAGTAAGCGTCACTCATTGTTGAGTTCATATACATAGAGTTACACTTTATATTTCCGTGTCACGTACAAATTGCATTGAAATGATGGAATGCATTTGATTTTAAATAACATTTACAGTGTGTATGATTTACAAAAAACTTGAGCAAAACAAATATACAAACATCCGATGCCCCTGTCGCATTGACAATCTTTCATTCCGTATTACTGTAGAATAAAACGTATAACTTTCATTTGTAAAACTTTCTCAAGACTGATATTTACCAATGCGATATGTAAAGATAATTTTAATGACACACAGTTTAAGTAATTTAAAATCAAACGAAGTCAATAAAACGTATAACTTTCATTTGTAAAATTTTCTCAAGATGGATATTTACCAATGCGATATGTAAACATAATTTTAATGACACACAGTTTAAGTACAATTTAAAATCAAACGAAGTCAATAAATCAATAAGATTTTACATTATATGGAGAAATAACAAGGTCTGTTTAGTTATTTTGAAGGTCTATCATAAAAGATTGCTGTACAGTTCAAGTTTGAAGACAATCCGTTTAGAAATAACAAAGTTAACTAATAGCAAAACCAGCAAAAATCTAGGACAATTCAGACATTTGACCTTGATGGTCATTTATGAATGAAGGTCAAGTTTAATCTGGTCTGCCCCAATGGTTGATGAGGTCAAGTATGGAGGCAATACACTATAATCTCAAGGTCAGCAACGGCTTAATGGTCCTATGATTGTAACAATTCTTCTACTTTTTTTTTCTTCGGAAGCTAAAAATAACTCAATGTCTATGAATTGAACAGTGAGTGATACAACTGATGGGCTACTCAAGTTTAATCTATATTTTCTTGCAGCCTTCATATTACCCTTTCTTTTACAAGTATTAAATGCGTAATTTGGCAAAACTGGGCCAAATAAGGACTTTGTCGTTTGTAATTATGAACCTAATTGGACTTTATTACTCCTAAATTGGGGGAAATAAAAACCCTAATTAGAACTTTGTTATCCCCAGTTACAACTAACTAGGATTTCTAATTCTAACAATTTTGAATGTATCAATTTATATCACATATTATTATTATTTTTTAGCTTTTTAATGAATATTAAAGAAAATTAATAAATTGAAAAAAGTAGTTCCGTAAAGCAGTGAAAAAATGACAAAAAGGTAATTAACAACGAATTATGAATTTTAATTCACTAATAAATTTGTATAATTCAATAAAAAGCATAAAATAAACATTGCCACTTGTAGCTTATCGACCATAATTTAACAACCACTTGCAACGATTTGAATGAACATTGGTTCGAAGACGGAATAAAATTGTTTTTAAATCAGTTGGTATTGAAGATTAAATAAAACGAAACCCCATGTAAAATGAGAGATAAAACAAATAAATCCGTGTTTAGGGCCACAGTAAGAAAAAGTTAGGTAGATTTTATTAAGTTTATTTTTTGTTTAATAATTTATCCATTATAAAGGCTAAATATATCACCATAACTTTATTCAATGGTTGCCAGTTAAAGCTTTTATGGAGAAGTTTGACATGGTAGGGCCGAGCTCGCCCGAAAAAACCCCGGGATTTTTTTTCGGCCCCCAAAATAAATCGGCATTATTTTTTATATGGCCCCAACTGACGAATGCTTTAATTAAAATGAAAAAAAAATATTTTTTAAAAGAATTTTCAAACCATAAAACCAAATTAAAGGGAAAATTTTTTTTCAGCCTAGCGCGCAAATTGCTGTTGTTTTAAATTAAAAACTTCCGTAAAGTTGGGGGTTAAACTTTGTGCAAAAAGAAGGGAAAGCGCAATTTGGGCAATTTAAAAAAATTATACCAAGAAATTTGTATTTTTAGCAACTTTAAAGTTTAACAGGGGAACCCTTTGGGTTTTGAAAATTTTTTGAAAGTTCCAATTTAAACGTAAGTTTCTGGAAAGCAATAAGAAAATCAATGTTAAATTTGGGCTAAATTTAAAAGGGAAAATTTTTAAAATCTGTTTTACCGGTCTCAATGCATACCATCCACAGACCTGTCTAATTCTAAATTATTAGATTAGTGGATACAGTACAAATTTCACCAAACATATTTCATAAACATAACAGCACATGTCAAATGTTTTGTGGTTAAGTCTATTCAAATATTCAAATGAAATGTCAGAAATAGGAGAAATATTCAATAGTTTTTAACCATGCCAGACCAATGGCCAGACGGCCACAATCTTCTTCTGCACTGGTCAGTGGTCTCCAGCAGGACCGCGGGTTAAGTTATTCATTATTTGAGAATGAATATAAAAATCGCGTTATAATAATTTACCAAACGAATCATGAATGTAAAAATCAAATTTTTAGCCTTCTGTAGCTGAACTTAAGTCGATCTTGAAGTTGAGAATAAATTTTTTTGGAACGATTTTAAATTACTCTGAACCTTTTGATTTATTGGGTTTATTGCGACATTTAATTTACGATTTAGTTAAGCACTTTGCTTGGTTTATCAATGAATAAAGAGTTTAGGACATTTAGTTTATGGATTATTAGGACATTTTATTTATGGTTTATTTAAGTAAGGTGGTGTCAATTGATAAAGCTTGATTTTGGGTGATTAATAAACATTAAGCCACATATTACAAAGATGGATGGACACATTATTTATGAAGCTTTTGAACGGAGGTCAAATCACAGAGTTAGTACATTATGGTAACGCAAACGAAAAGCTCGATATCCGGCAACTACCATGTATCTTTACATCAATGTATGTAAGGATGTGATTTGTAAATACTATATTTCATTATACAAAAACACTGACACAAGAACTGGGAGCATCCGATATGTCAAGATAACAACCAGTACGCCTCCCCTGCTCACGTTAAATATTTCAATCACTAAATATCAATGTCGTTCACCTCCCTTATACATGTATCAAACATATGTGCAGACAATTTAGGGCTGCCATTGATGGACAATTTTGTATCGATATATCGAGAGAAAAATATCGACGATATATTGATATATCGACTTTAACAGTAGATAGAATGAAAAACATTTAAATGTGTGTTATAAATTGGGATCATGGTCTTATGCATGCTTGTATTAGACTACAAATACTACAAACTAACAAAGTTTCCTTTTTCTGTTATTTTTGTCACTGACATTTGAAAATAGATTTTAAAGTTCAAGTTAGCCTAGAAAACTGGAAAAAAAGTGACTTCTCTTATTAGGCATAAATTGAGAAGTATATATTTACTAACAGAAATAAATAAATTTTAGCTTGTATTGATATTTGAAAATGTGTATCGATATTGTATCGGATGGTGTATCGATATCGCGATATTCAATGACAGCCATAGCAGACATCAAGCCAGATACTTACTTAATATGTGAACCGAATACAGTAAAAGAACATTGAGCTCCCAATTACTATATACAATCAATAAAGAAAATTACAATATACAAATAAGAACAATATATTGTGTTTGCATCAATTGTGTTTTGTTCTCCACGTACCGATTTCACTTCCTTTTTGTAACTTTATCCTTAAAATGAATGTACACATACAGTGTTAAAAGTTTAAATGTCGTAGAAAGTAAACATGTATATGATATGGTTAGGAGAGTAGAAAATCCCTGATTTGTGTTATTATTATTGTTATTTTGGTTATGAAGATATTGAATTTTGTCATTTTTTTGGAGGAAACATTTTTAGTTTTATCCACATTGTAAATATTGAAATAATTCTAAAACTTAATACAAATATACTATTCTTAAGTATGTTTTTTTTTTCAAAGATTTTTCTTTCTCATATGGGGTGTACGTATCGCTTTAAGAAAACTGAATGGACAGACAGACAGACGGACGCACGAACATGACACGGCTTTTTTTCATACATGTTTTGTTGGTTTTTCTACATTGCTTCCGAAGAATCTTCGTTTTTTGTTTTCTTTACTTGTATTATGGTGGTTGTTTTTATTGTAATCTAAAAAATCTATTTACCTGGAACTGCCCAGCACAGAACCTGGTAACCTATCAACATAAGTCCCGTGCGCATGCCCGATGACCTATGAATGATTTGCATGTATATATGGAAAGCGATAATGGAAGTCCAGAAGAACGATGCCATGCTGGAATAGGTTGTGATGAAACTTTGTACAACACATACGCTGTCTGATGCCAACAGTAAATCGCAATCCCCGCCCTTTGACTTCAACACTAAGTACCGTATACTGCCAATAGTATTCCCGAACGCGGTGAGTAAATCAGCCACAGTCAGACTCAGTAGAAGCTTTCTTGCAAAATTCTGTATCACTGGAAGATTTATATACGTGATTATGATCACAAATGATCCAAATATGGAGAGAAAGCAACTTAAAAGAGTAAATAATATTGTATAGGTCGGCACCATAGTTCGACATATCGCATGGGTCGTGTTAGCGGCTGTTGTAATGTTCGGATATAACGTAGTTAGTGTTGTATTCATTTTGACAGCAAATAAATTCAATCTAAGCACTCGTTTATCATCAGACTTCTATATATTCACTCTAAACCGACGAAAACACAAATTCGGGATTCCTCGTAACATGCATTGACATACACTCAAAGCAACATCTTATTAATTATAACATTTATAATCCGGAAATCACTTGGAAGTTTTTTATATCCTTCAATCAACATCCTGTCGTTTGAAAACACACATGTTATGTGTAAGTTTATCACATATACAAGTATTCACAAGGAGTAAATCATAGTTAGTCATCCGCTCATATAACATCAATTTCAATTCTCAGTTTTACTTTACAAATAAACTCAATTACACAAAGTTCAACCGCCCGTCAACTTGAATATAACTATAATGGTTTATAAATAGAAGTGTGTTAAAAGCGCGCGGATTACTTAAGTACCGATTGCTTAACACTTTACAAAATTACTTAACAACTAAACACAGTTAATATTTTCCAAACATATATCGTTTAATTAAAGTCTAAGTCCATGTCTGGTATCTATTTCGCAAAATATCCACAAACTGAATAATAATAACTTTAAAACGCCTACATAATTATGACATACACGCGTTACTTGATCGATTCTTTAAGATAAAGGTAGTGTGTAAGTACGGCGCAACAAAGTTATTTAAATTTTGTCATAAAACACAGCGAGGACATCGAAAATATCATATTTCGGAAACATAATTGATAAAACGCGGTTTCACATTATAATGGAGACATGTGTTTATAATAACTACAGAAGGCGTAGTGTGTAAGCGAACTACATAAAATGCATAGCAATTTTATTAAATTATTAAATTCTGTAATAAACAGATACACGGCTTTAACTGTTGCTACACAGCAACTTCAGGGCTGGGAATCAAAACTGCGTCGTATCCTACAAAATGTAAACAAACGCCGCCATCTTGGAACGAAAAACGTATGTTTTTGTTTATAACTTTTTTTGTTGGAAATGACTGAAAACCAGATAATATGTATTAACAACGCTACACTATTTTCCGCTTCGTTCGGTATATGTTGCTTAGACAACTATTTTGTAAAACAAAAGTTATAGCGAACTTGCAACTCGAAGCGGAGCAGAATTTTTATGAAATTGTGTGGATACGACGCAGTTCATATTGCTTTATCTATCGTTTCTTCTTCAAATCAATTATATACTCGTTTTCAGAGTTCACCATAAACTTCAAAAACATAATTTTGCATCATTTACTAAATTTTCATTAAAAAGAGATGTTTATTTTCCATGAAAATAATGATTTTTACGAAAAAATGATACGACGCAGTTGAAAATAAAATATGATACGACGCAGTTGTATTTTCATTGCAGGCTGCATATTGGTTTTTAAACTATTTACAATTATGTGCTAGGTATGGCTAATAACGTCCAACAACATTTTCTTGTTTAAAACTTAAGTCAAAAGCAGAGGTCACTCATTGGTTTCCATAAAAATGGAAATGTAATACAATTCTATTAAGGCTGCATTTTTTTCGGTCGCATTTAAGTTCCTATCATATTGAGCTTCTACAAATTTCCGAAAAACTGTATTAAATGCAATATACATTGTGCAAATAAACACGTGATCGCACAACCATATGACAACGTGTTCCAGTGTTTGCCTTAGCATGCTTTCTAAAATTGTTCCGTGAGTTCAAAATGGAGTGATTACTATTTTTGATACAAAATTCAATATTCCAGTGTAACCTCTCCTGAAACCCTGTACTAGTATTAATCAGAAATGACATTTTTTTTAAAAAAAAGAGAGAAAGAAATTACAAATTTTTTGAAAATGTCTCTTGCTATCGGAAAAGAGCTATGCGCAAATTGCATGCCTACCTTTGTTACTTGTAAATTAGCAATAATTTCCGTCAATTCCGTTATTACTTTATGTCTTTTACGTGCCAATTTTATTGTATTTCATTTTCTTAATAATCGGTGAGAACAACAAGCTTTATTATTTTGAAACTGAACATTAAATTTTTTAAAATTATATTTTAAATGGTTAAGCTACAATATATTTTTGCAAGTAGGTTATGCATTCCGTTTAGTCATTTTATGTTCAGCGCCGCGGAACTTTACCTCTGATGTTGTCGTATTGCATTTCTTTATCGCCGATGAGGAAAGGTCTACGGAATGTATTTTCTATATTTGCACTTAAGTATCATTCTTCTCCATTAAAAAAAACACTTTATATTTTCAAAATCGAGTTACATATCATACAACTTCAGATTATTTTGTAAAGAAGGTGTCCGTTTTGCAAAGGTATTTTACGCTGTGCACCGATAAATTTGATACAGATATAGGCAGACATGATCTTTCAACAATATTGAAGAAGTTTTCACAATATTGAACCACAGGAGCTTGAAATTCTATCAATAATTGCCCTTAAGTCAAATTCCCCAAAAAATCCATACCTATATATAAAAAAACACTTTTTTATATATAGGTATGGATTTTTTTTTGGTGAATTTGACTTTAGGGCAATTATTGATAGAATTTCAAGCTCCTGTGATTGAACAGAAAATTAAGGTCAGATTATCGCATCGAATTTTCAACAGACTAGAGACATGGCATCTTAACATACCTTCATACTAAAGTGTGATTATTTGATAATGAATTGCCTGAAAACTTAAACAAAGGTTTTCAGAAAAATGACTTCACAGAGGATTACCCCCTGTTTACATTGAAAATTTCTCTGCTAGTCATACCGAAATAAGAAATTTAAATGTTATTCTCTTTAAAATAATTCAAATATTTATAATCTTATAACTTCATGCCCGAAGTTAATAAAAAAGCTGCTTATTTGTACAGCTGACGTTAACAAATTTTGTTGAAAAAACAAATCAGACAGGTGTGTCCGACCGTGGCGGAGCTGTTTATGTTTACTGAATTCAATCACTTGAACTGAACTGCAATGAATTCGAAAACCACCAGGGACTTTTTATTCTTTCGTGTGGAAAACCTATCAAGCTAGTTTCAAAATGTGGATGGTTCTCTGCAGGTGCACCGTTTAGCCTGAAATAATGCACAAAGGCGTACCTGAGGTCCTCGCCCCTAGTAAAGCTAATGTGTAGAGTGAAAGTTTGAAAACAAACCACAAAAAAAGCAGTCATTACCCAGAACATGCAGAACCACAGTTAACTTAGAGCGTAGCTAGCCAACATGAATTCAAGTTAAAAGATTTCTATATTTTTTTGCGAAAAAAAATAGGGATAATATTAAGCATTCAGGAAAATATAAGAAATCATTTCAGATATTATGAACAATTAGGTAACATGTTTAACTGAAAAGTAGCTTCCGCAATGTACATGTAAACTTTCAAATTAAATGTAATATTGGACATGACACAATGTATTCAAAATAATCAAAAGCAACAGAAACATTGCTATACACCGCAAATGATCTGGGTTTTTTATCTAGCGCAAGTGATTATTCCATAAAATAGAAATATTTTGTGCCAAAATTATCCCTGTTGAAAAGACTGCCAAAAAAAATGCAACTGCGTCGTATCATATTTTATTTTCAACTGCGTCGTATCATTTCGTAAAAATCATTATTTTCTTGGAAAATAAACATCTCTTTTTAATGAAATTTTAGTAAATGATGCAAAATTATATTTCGAAGTTTATGGTGAACTCTGAAACAAATATATAATTGATTTGAGGGAAAAAACGATAGATAAAGCAATATGAACTGCGTCGTATCCACACATTTTCATAAAAATTCTGCCCCGCTTCGAGATGCAAGTTCGCTATAACTTTTGTTTTACAAAATAGTTGTGCAAGCAACATATACCGAACGAAGCGGAAAATAGTGTAGCGTGTTAATACATATATCTGGTTTTCAGTCATTTCCAACAAAAAAAGTTATAAACAAAAACATACGTTTTTCGTTCCAAGATGGCGGCGTTTGTTTACATTTTGTAGGATACGACGCAGTTTTGATTCCCAGCCCTGAACTTGGAGTATAGCACCCGAAACACCCTAAAACTAAAATCCAAATACACACGCACGCACGCACGCACACACACATATTATTATAGACGTACAATCATTTTTTTTCAATTAATTTATCCAACCAGTGCATCATCCGAAACACATAAGGACGATATGAATTATAAATAAACTTTCATCTTCCAAACATGAAATAGTTTAGCGTTATTTTTCGCGATTTGGACATAAAAGCGAAAAAAACTTGATTAAAGGGAAATATAAAAATGTTTAAAATAAACAAACTTAAGGGCTTCGGTAAAACTTTTATTTCTCAAGTTACAAAGAAATTTATAAACACTTATCTATTTTAGAAATCGATTTATAACATGGAAATAACTTTAACATCACAATCTTCAAATTAGAGGTAATTCACGACGCAATAATAAACAAGAGGGCCATGATAACCCTGAGGTCGCTCACCTGTATATAGCTCCCCCCCCCGTGCCAATTTTTACCCAAGGGCTTTTATTTGTTTATTTGAACAGACGACTAGGTAGACACCCATAAGAAGATGTTTCATGCTAAACATCTAAGTTCTAGCTCATTGGGTTTTTTAAAAGAAGATTTTTTAAGTTTTTACTATACACATATAGTTAAAAACAATGACACCCCTGGGACAGGGCCAGTTTTGACCCCAGGGCTTTTATTTGAACAAACTTTGTAGATATTTCCTTAATGATGTTTCATGCTTAATATCTAAACTCTCGCTATTTGGGTTTTTTCAAAGAAGATTTTGAAGTTTTTGCTATACACATATAAGGAAAATCAATGACCCCCCGGGGCGGGGCCAGTTTTGACCCCAGGGCTTTTATTTGAACATACTTGGTAGACACCCATTAGAACATGTCTCATGCTAAATATCTTAGCTCTAGCTCTTTGGGTTCTTTAAAAGAAGATTTTTTTAAGTTTTTACTATATGCATATAGGGAAAATCAATGACCCCCCGGGGCGGGGCCAATTTTGACCCCAGGGCTTTTATTTGAACAAACTTGGTAGACATTCACCAGAAGATGTTTCATGCCAAATATCTAAGCTCTAGCTCTTACGGTTCTTTAAAAGAAGATTTTTTAAGTTTTTACTATATGCATATAGGGAAAATCAATGACCCCCCGGGGCGGGGCCAATTTTGACCCCAGGGCTTTTATTTGAACAAACTTGGTAGACACTCATTAGAAGATGTTTCATGCTAAATATCTTAGCTCTAGCTCTTTGGGTTCTTTAAAAGAAGATTTCTTAAGTTTTTACTATATGCATATAGGGAAAATCAATGACCCCCTCGGGCGGGGCCAATTTGACCCCAGGGCTTTTATTTGAACAAACTTGGTAGACATTCACTAGAAGATGTTTCATGCCAAATATCTAAGCTCTAGCTCTTACAGTTCTTTAAAAGAAGATTTTTTAAGTTTTTACTATATGCATATAGGGAAAATCAATGACCCCCTGGGGCGGGGCCAATTTCGACCCCAGGGCTTTTATTTGAACAAACTTGGTAGACACTCATTAGAAGATGTTTCATGCCAAATATCTAAGCTCTAGCTCTTAGGGTTGTTTAAAAGAAGATATTTAAAGATTTTTCTTTCGGTTGCCATGGCAACCAGAGTTCTGCATGGAATTAAATTCTTTGAACAATTTTCAAAGGTGACCACCAAAGGAACATTCCTGTGAAGTTTGGATGAAATTGGCTCAGTGGTTTATGAGGAGATGTCATTTAAAGCAAAAGTTAACGGACGAACGACGGACGACGGACGGACGGACGGACGCCGGACGAAAAGCGATCACAAAAGCTCACCCTGTCACTTTGTGACAGATGAGCTAAAAATAAATAAATAAAC